CCGTCCTTCAGGCTTCACCCCATCAGACCCGTCCTTCAAGCTTAACCCCATCAAGTAAAATTTTTTAACTAAATAATTTTAGGGTTTTTTTTTTGACAGAAATTTGGGGGTTTTATGTTTTGCAATAAAATTAAGATTTTGATTTTGAATATTGGTTGAATCTTAGTTGTTAAAGAATTAAATTAGGGGTAATCTTGGTTGAATCTTAGTTGTAGAATTAAATTAGGGGTTATGATATTTTGGAATGAAATTAGGGTTTGTTTTAATAATAATGATATTGTAATTGGGCAATTGGGAAGATAAGGGTCTGTCCGCAAGTAACCCTTGAAAATTTTCAATTTTAAACCTGTCAATTTTATGGATGATGCTTTTCTTGAATATAAGGGGTCTGTCCGCAAGTATTAACCCATCTTTTTGTCTTTCATACTGTTTTCATATGAGTGAAGGGGGTTATAATAATGCTATATTTATACTTCATTGATATTGCTAAGTTTAGTTGATTGTGATTTCATATATGTTATATAATTATATTTACAGACTACAGTACACTGTGACGGGAGATGACAAAAACCGAGTAAGTATTAGAAAACAAAACTCTGGAGCTCATAATAGAAGAGTCAAGCAACGTCAAGATGAAATGGCAAAATTACTACATGGCTCAATTTCTAAGCTATTCAAAGCAAAAACACAACATTCTCTTCTTTTGAGTCAAGTTGAAGAAGCTAGTGTCACTACCAATATTAGTGAAAATATGGATGAGGTCATTGAGGAGCCCATGAATGAAGATTATGAAGTCACTTATGCGGATGGAAATCGTAAGGAGGAAGCAAGTGATGAAGATCATGAAGAGCCTGTGAATGAAAATGTTCATGAAAGCATACTTGATCTTGAGAAAGATGTGGAAGTAAATTATGATCCGGGATTGTGGGGAAGTATAAATGATACTAAGAGGGTGATGATAGTTCAAAGTGGTCCTATCAAGATTTTAAAGAAAAATGATGAGTTTCCAAGTGAAAAGAAGAGTGGGAGAAATAGAAGTTTTTCTTCCAAATATTATATCCGTGAATTTCCAAATGGCGAGAAGCATGAAAGGAAATGACTTGTCTATTCAAATGAACTGAATAGGGTATTTTGTTTTTGTTGCAAGTTGTTCAAAAATAAACCAATGACAACCAATTTGGCGGAGAATGGAATAGACGATTGGCATAACCTTCCTACAAAGCTTAGAGAGCATGAAAGTAATCCGGAGCATTGTGCAAATGTTGTGAAGTGGGTTGACTTGCAAAAAGGACTAAAACTAAAGGCAACAATTGATAAAGATATAGAAGCACAAATTGACAAAGAGAAAACTCGTTGGAAGATGATACTAGTTCGAATCATTGCGGTTGTGACGACTCTTTCTCGAAATGGTTTGCCATTTCGTGGAACTAATGAGAAGATTTATGAGAAGAACAACGGACTTTTTTGTCAACTTATAGAGTTCCTTGCAGAATTTGATCCAATTATGCAAGATCATGTTCGGCGTGTGGTAGATAAAGAAGTTCAGAACCATTATCTTAGCTATAAAATTCAAAATGAATTGATAATTTTGTTGGCCAATGAGATCAAAGAAAAAATTCTTGACAAAATTTCAAAAGCAAAGTATTTTTCAGTTATTCTTGATTGTACGCCGGATTTAAGCCACGAGGAGAAAATGTCAATTATCATTAGATGTGTGGATATTGAAGATACAAATCAAGTCAAGGTGGAAGAGTTTTTTCTTGGATTTATAAAGGTTGATGACATGTGGGGACTTGGGCTTTTCAATCAACTTGAAGATACTTTGAATAAACTTAATCTCAACATTGATGATATAAGAGGTCAAGGTTATAACAATGGGTCAAATATGAAAGGTAAACATCAAGGTGTACAAAGAAGACTTCTTGACATAAATCCTCGAGCTTTTTATACACCATGTGGGTGCCATAGCTTAAACCTTGCACTATGTGATATGGCAAAATCTTGTGTCAAAGCTAGAAATTTTTTTGCATATGTGCAAAAGGTTTACACTTTGTTTGCTGGATCAACACATCGGGGGATGTTCTTAAAACATATGTAAAGGGTCTGACACCAAAGCCATTGTCGGTTACTCGTTGGGAAAGTCATGTTAAAAGTGTTAAAGCAATCCGATATCAAGCACTGGAGTTGGGAGACGCTTTGATTGAAATTGTAAATAGTTCTAAAGAGGACATTGTGATGGCAGAAGCAAAAGGCTTGTGTAAAAATGCTTTGGAGGATTTTGAGTTCTTGATTAGCTTGTGTTTTTGGTATAAGATTTTAGATAAAGTCAATCGAGTTAGCAAAATTCTTCAACAAGAAGAGATGAATTTGGAGGATGCAATTACAAGAATAAACGAGCTTATTGTTTTCTTTCAAAAGTTTAGAGAAGATGGTTTTGAAAACATGATGAAAGAAGCCAATGAACTTGCTAATGATGTTGGTATCGATCCGACATTTCCGATAAAAAGAGTGGTTCGTAGAAAGAAGCATTTTGATGAGGATGTGGAAGCGAATGTTGAAGGTAGTCAATCACCGGAGGATAATTTTAGAGTTTCCTATTTCCTCCACATTATTGATCAAGCTCTTACATCACTCAAATATCGTTTTGAACAATTCGAGCTCTATGAAGAAATCTTCGATTTTTTGTTTAATGCAAAGTTCATGAGCATTGGTGAAGAAAAATTAATGGAACATTGCATTAAATTACAAAGATACTTGGAACACAACAAACAATGTGATATACATGGGAAAGATTTATTCAATGACCTACGAGCTTTGCAAACAATATTGCCGAAGGAAGTGACTAAATCAATAGACATCCTTGACTTCATAAGATCTTATTAGGATGATGGTGGCTTTCAATGTGCATGGGTTGCTTATCGGATTTTGTTAACTATCACTACTAGAAAATGGGTTATTGACTACGAATATTTAGCGACGGAATATTCCGTCGCTATAACATGACTTATAGCGACGGAATTTCCGTCGCTATTAACCCGTAGGAAAATATAGTTATAGCGACGGAAAATGTTGTTTTAGCGACTAAACTTTTCCGTCGCTAAAATATTAACGACAATCTACAAATCTGTCGGTAAATAAGGATTTAGCTACGGATTTTCCGTCGCTAAAACAATTTTTAGCGACGGAACAATCCGTCGCTAAAGGTTTTGGGTGGGAAAAAAATTTCGGGCGCGGGCGCCCAAAATTTTGGGCACCCCGCGCCCGTTTTTACCGAGACCAACCCCCCTTTCTCTCAGAACCCGAGACCCCCCACCCCCTTCTCTTTCCCCCTCTTTTCTCTCCAGACCCTCGCCCCAACCTCCAGACCCGCCGCAACCCCCCCTCGTCGCCGCTCGCCATTGTGTGGATCTCAGACCCTCGCGCACCCTCTCTTTCCCCCTCTCTCTCTCCCAGACCCGCCACCCCCCCTCTCTTTCCCCTTTCTCTCTCCCAGACCCGCGCCCCCCCCTCTCGTCGGCGCCAGCCGTTGGGTGGAGCCACCGCCACCACCGCTCGATCTCTTCCCCCCTCTCTCTTTCAAGGTACCCCTTTCCCCTCCCCCCTCAAATCTATAGTTTATAGTTTAGTTTTTGCCAAAAAACCAAATTAATTTATTGGAAAAAATCAAAAACCCTAATAAAAAAATCAACAAACCCTAATACAAAAATTATAGATAAATAGTTATATAGTTTAATTTTTGCAAACCCTAATAAAAATCAAAACCCTAATAAAAAATTAGAATAGTGTTGAAGGTTAAGGTTAGGTTTAGGGTTAGGGGGTGAGGTTGAGGTTGAGGGTTAGGATTAGGGTTAGGGTTAGGTGAGGGTGAGCGTGAGTTTTAGGTTGAGGGTTAGGGTTAGGGTTAGGGTTAGATGAGGGTGAGGGTTAAGGTTAGGGTTAGGGGGTGAAGGTGAGGGTGAGGGTTAGGGTTATGTGAGGGTGAGTGTGGGGGTGATGGTGAGGTTGAGGGTTAGAGTTAGGGTTAGGGTTAGTGTAGAGGTGAGGGTGGGGGTGATGCTGAGGGTTAGGGTTAGGGTGGGGGTGAGTTTGAGGTTGAGGTTGAGGGTTAGGTTTAGGTTTAGGGTTAGGGGAGGGTGAAGGTGAGGGTTAGGGTGATGGTTACAATGAGGGTGAGGTGATTGTGTGGGGTTATCGTAACTATTATATCGCTAATTACATAGAAATTGCACACACTGTACACTCATATTTTCGAGCCGTAGAATACCCCGTCCAATAAATACTATATATAATCTCTTTATTTACTTGTCACATACGCGTACAGGATTGTTGGCGGATACGATACCATCATGTTCGGTCTGATAACCTTTCCGTAATTATATGTGACGGAGGGCTTATATATAAATATTTATTGGATCTGTCCAGTTTGGACGGGTTAGGTATGTAAACATGGTGTGCATATGTATTTACGTGTGTTCTTGTGTACTTTCTTTTCGTCAGAGTTTCGGCGGCGCTTACTCATTGTTCTCCGTGTACTATAGTGTACTCGGAGAACAGCGGGTAGGTGCTGCCGAAATTTTGACGAAATAAAAGTACACTTGAACACACGTAAATACATATACACGCTACGTTTACATACCTAATGGGATAGAAGCCTTCCTCTGACAGCCGATCACACACACTTGTCCTATAACTTAAAATGATATATGTAGGGATATGCTCACTTCTATTAATTTTTAAATTCTAGATGGGGCCAATTCCTGACAAATCGTTCATGGGCATACCACGTGATCGAAGGCATTTAGACACTCGATACAAGGATGTGATAGAAGCATTCTTAGCCTACTCTGACACCAACCCTCTACGGTCACTCAGCGGGTTGATTTTTTATCCTTGCAAGAATTATAGGAATGATAAAATGCTCACTAGGAGTGACGTAAGTTTCCATCTATCAATCAATGGATTTGATAGCTCTTATGTATTTTGGAGTCATCACGGTGAAGGCGTCCCGGTGATGCAATTAGAGGAAGAGTTTACTGATGTCGACAATCCGACAATTGACACAACTGATATGTTGGAAGATATTCTTACCGTGCCGTCTTCGAGTGATGTTAACACTACTGATATGTTTCAAGATGTAGCCCGATTGATGAGACTTGTTGAAGAAAACGAGTCACCGTTATACGAGGGTTGCACCGAGTTCACAAGGCTTTCTTTTATGCTGAGGCTTCTTCATATCCAAACACTCAGTGGGATGGCTGTTACACATTTCGAGATGTTATTAGACTTGCTCAGGAAAGTCATTCCAGGCGGCGAGAAGAGCATCCCCACAACTTATTATGAAGCTCACAAGATTGTTGATACCCTGGGTCTTGATTACAAAAAGATAGACGCCTGTCCTAATGACTGCATCTTGTACAATAAGGATAATGAAGGTCTAGAGGAATGCCCGACGTGTCATGTATCACGCTGGAAAGAACATACGGGCACATTTGAAGGCATATCATCCAATAAACAGAGCAGAATCCATGTGAAGGTTCTCTGATATTTTCCAATTATTCCTAGGCTGCAGAGGTTTTATATGTCTACCGAGCTGGCTGAGAATATGCGATGGCATTTGATCGATCGCAAATAGGACAGGAAATTAAGACATCCTGCTGATGGTGAGGCATGGAAGCACATCGATTGTATATACCCTGACTTTGGTAAGGAGTCTCGGAATATTAGGCTGGGGATTGCTAGCGACGGATTTAATCCGTTTGGAGTAATGAGCTCTGCTTAGTCTACCTGGCCAGTGTTGCTGACACCGTACAACCTGCCGCCGTCGATGTGCATGAAGCAGCCATACATGATACTGTCACTCTTGATCCCTGGAAGATATTCTCCTGGAAATGACATTGATGTTTTCCTCCAACCATTAATTGACGACTTGAAGCTTCTCTGGGATGAAGGCGTCAGCACTTACGATGCTTATGGTAAGGAGGCTTTCCGTATGCGTGCAATGGTCATGTGGACAATTAATGACTTTCCAGCATATGCTAACTTGTCTGGATGGTCGACGAAGGATCAGATTGCTTGTCCGGTGTGCATGTCAGATTATGAGGGAAAGTTCCTAAAATACAACTGTAAGTTCTGTTATTGGCAACACAGAAGATGGTTACCTACAGGGCACAAGTTCAGAAAGTTAGTAGGAAAGTTCGACGGCAATCCAGAAAACAGACCGGCACCACCAAGGCTGACCGCGGAAGAAATATTTGAGATTCTACATCCTCTACCTAAAAAAATATTTGGAAAGAAAAGATTCAACAAAGAAAATCCATTTGGGGTTAGGAGAAAAATATTGAAGCAAAATTGGAAGGGAAGGGGAAAGGGTAAGCAATTTCTCAAAGGAAATAAACCTCGCACTGTCCAATCGCATGTGCGTGTCTCTAAGGGTACTGAACTTCCGCATGGATGGTCAAAATTCAGCATATTTTATCAATTGCCATATTGGAGAAGTTTAAAAATACGTCACAACTTGGATGTCATGCACATCGAGAAGAACATATGCGAGAATCTCCTGAACACTTTGTTGCAGGACAGAAAAAAAATCAAAAGATGACTTAAGGGCACGTCGAGACCTAGCAGAATTGAACATCCGTCCTGAACTGCAAGCTATAGATAAGGGTGACGGAAATTTTGAACTCCCAGCCTCCCGTGTCACACTGTCGAAGGATGAGATCCACAATATGTGTTTATTTCTAAAGTCCGTGAAGACACCGGATGGTTATGCTTCAAACATTTCAGCAAATGTGCATATTGAGGACAGGAAAATTTTGGGACTCAAGACACATGACCATCATATTCTATTGCATCAACTTCTCCCGGTTGCGTTGCGACATGCTGAGAAGGAACTCGCGATGGTGGTAATAGAATATTGCGGTTTCTTCAAGCAGTTGTGCTCCAAGGTGATTGATGTCAGGGAGTTTGAAGAATTAGAGGGACGTGTAGCCAATACACTGTGTAAAATGGAAATTCTATTTCCACCCTCGTTCTTTACGGTCATGGTGCATCTCACAATACATTTAGCATATGAAGCCCGCATCGCAGGACCAGTTCAATATCGCTGGATGTACCCTGTGGAGAGGTATTTATTATTATAATGCTCAATTAATATTTGTTAAATTACGTATATCAGTTTTATTTTGTCACAAATCATGAAACTATATGCTTGTAGGTATTTGGGTTTCATGAAACATTTGATGCATAATCGTGCACGTCCTGAAGGATCGATAGCAGAGAACTATATAAGTAATGAGAGTTTGAATTTCATCTCTCGTTACTTGCGGGGTGTGGAGACAAGGCTCAACCGTCCCCAACGAATAATTGACGGAACATTCTATAATGATCGTGGGGAGGACACTAGATTCCCCAGAATGGAGCTAGATCAAGCCCACACATATATCTTGAGCAATGATACTACATTTAACATATACGCGGCGTAAGTATTTAACTATTTGAATCAGATCATATCACATCACAATAACTATCTCTATTTAACTGTTACAAATGATTTTATTCTAGGCTTCACATCCGATATGTGCAGACTATTCTTAAATGCAGAACAAAAATAAAAGAGTTATGGACACACACTCTAGACAATTCCCTGCAAGGCTGAAGGGTAAAGTAAGATTTATTTACATTTCTGATTCGTATATCAAATATGTGCCTGCCAACAGATATTTAAACTATTTGTTTCTTTTCTTAAAGGTTGACCGACGTATTATGAATGGGGTTAACCTGTCTGAGAAAATATGTTTATATGCCAGAGGTCCTTCTAACGTGGTTAAGCATTATGGAGGCTACTGTATCAACGGCTTTAGGTTTAACACCATCGGTTTCGAAGA